GACTACTATTGATCAAGGTGTGAGGACAGATTGAAATCGGTCCTCAAGTGGGAGATTGTTGGTCAAAGAAAGTGGCTGCCAAATTTTTCAATTCTTACTGCCAAATTTTTTTATGCAAGCATGAGGTGCACGAGGCATATTTTATTGCAATGCACAGTACCAATTTTTGCTATAAATTGGTCTTCTTCCTGCAAGCAAAATTATCACATCCCATACAAAATATTACTTCTCTTAGAGAAGAAAAGAGTGGCACCAGTGAGAGGCAGAAAAACTAGAGAGTTTTAGTTTAGCTTCTGGGTGTAATTGGGTTGTGAGTTGTGAGTGTTTTGGAAGTGTTTTGTAAACACTTGTGTATTTTCTTCTCTCCTAAAAAGAGATCTGTAGTAGTCCGGAGACGTAGGCATTATTGGCCGAACTCCATTATCAACTTGTGTGTGCAATTATTCCGCTTTTATTTCACTTTCACAGATCTGACCATATGAGAAGATTCAGCATATTTTTCCCACCAAAAAATAATTCTAAAATTAATATGAAACTTTCAAATTAAGTTATACCTAAGATATTTCATACCATAATAATATATTAAGATAAAAATATTAAGATAATCTTGAAATAATTTGTATATTTTAATTTAATACATATATATAAACATGAAGAACTCATTATTGAAGGCTTGTCTATTTGGTTTATAATATCTCAATCAAAGATTTTTCGCAAATAATTGGAGGGTACATATAATTTTATGATTGCATGCCACACTCTATTATATATACCCCAAAGTGGTATCCAATTATCTTGCTTTCGTTTTTGTTTTCCCTTTTTCCTGAGTGATTCAGTGTTACAGGTTCCCAAAGGCACACAAGTAATGGTTCTTTTATGGGGCAGAAGTAAGGGCTTAACCTACGTGCCCTAGGGTGGTGGGATCCTAATTGACTCCTTTGCCACATTATTATATATTATCATTATCATGGTATATTTATTAGCAGTTATACCTGGATATACCACACATCAATCATGATTCAAAGACCACCTTCATTCTTTTCGTTTCTTTTCGGCAAGTTCCATCTATGAAAAGGAACACACTCGTACTCTCAATTATTAACTCATACAACAAGTCAAAACCCTATGCATCTTTCTCCTCCATCGTCATCAAAATCACTTCACCTCTCAAATTTTTCCAATTTCTTCCCTTTGTTTTCAGGTGAAGTAGTGCTACAATTGATTAACATCTGTAAGTTATTGCATTAGTTTTGTCAACTTTTCATTCTCATACAATTAGTTAAAATGGTGACACGTATTTTTAATTTTGTTAAGGGACATGGGTAACTTCATTTTTATCCCCCGGAGAAAATCAATAGCGAAATAATCTTTTAAATATAAAAAGCTTTTATCAATTCCTTCATTTAGTTTCCTTGTTATAAAAATAAAATACATTAGTTTAGCGTATTAATCATAAAAGATGAAATCACTTTCTTTTCTTTCTTTTCTTCTACGTATATAAAGAGTCATTTTTTATGTACAAAATAAAACATTAAATTATTTTAAAGAATGGTTATTTGCTAAATAAATAATGTCACATATCTTAAGAAATATAAGATGTATTTATTATCAACTGAGACAAGAAAAATTGACATTAGATGTTAAACTAATGATGCGACATAATATAGAATAAACCGATCAAAAGTTGAATAATTTGATACTATGTTTTTAATTATGTTTATTAAAATTTCATTCTATTTCGATATTTACTGTTTTGTTAGCTAGTTGAAAAAAATATATATATATATATAGAAATGGACCTTTACTTATATTTTAAATCGTTGTTATCCATGAAAACGAAATAGTACAATGAAGAATCAATCGTTTTTTTTATTATTGACATGGAATTTTATAAACCTAATATATTTTATAAAAAACTTACAATTAAATATAGGTTAATTTTTAATTGTCTAAAAGGTTAATAAGTGGTGTGATTATAAAAGTTTGTCAACTAGTATTAATTGATTATATATCCCTATCAGATGTTGATCAAATATTAAATTTGATTAAATAGGAATAAACCAAATATAAAGTCTTTCATATATAAAGTATGAAAATAAAATATTTAAATAAAGATGCATTATTTTGTGTCGATGAATTTAATATATGGTGTGTAGAAACAAAAAAATATAAATAAAAGACGAAATTGATTAAAATTGAAGCAATAGTAATAGAAAAGTATAAAAAGGATAAATGATGAGATGATTGAAAAATGGAAAACAGATCTTAAAAGTCCTCTGATGATCTAAGTGAACTGGGGATACACATAGTTAATTAATTTGAATATATAAAATAATTTGTATTTGACAAGCTGTTAATGGAGCTTAGGGTTTTTGTTGGTTTGTTTGTTTTTCTGTGTCTTCTGAGGGACGGGGTTTGCTTTTGAAATGGCATATGGATGAGATTGATTTGATACATTGAGTGTATGTGAAAGGATATATATGATGCACAAAGGAGTGAGGCATGCATAGCAAGAGCAATAATATATAGTGCAATAAATCGTTATGATATCTATTCCAAAACGAAGCACAAATGATGCTAAATTTTATAAAGTTGATTTGTATTCTTTCCTGAGAAGGGAATGCAATTAAAAGGGTATTAAATTTGTGTGGTATTAGGATAATGATTCCTTTAGATGATAGCAAGAATGGTCCCTTAGAGTCAAGCCAGAAAGAAAGCTAGCTGCTAGTGAGGTCGACTTTGTTGTCCATTTGCGTGACCTCTGGCTGGTGGAATATAGTTAACTACGTCTCATCACTCCCACGAAAGAAAATGACACCCATCCTCAAATATCTCATACCCTTTTCAGATTCAATCAAACCTACCCTCTCTGCACAAAATCATAATAATATTTGACTAATTTGCTAAACAATTATTTTCTCATCACCTCACTCTCCTTCACTATATATCAATTTTATTTATTATTCTTTTTCCTTCATAATCATGGTCTATTATTGACCACAGCTTGGTTACAATCCTGCATTGAAGTGCATCTTTGAAAAAATTGTTATTGCTGTTATCTGGGTTTCTGTCACGAAAGAGATGTATCCAAGCAAGTGTTCAGTGATTGGTTTTGCTGATGTGAAGTCGTTTGTTTTGCAGCTTGAATCTATCTATAAAGTGATGATATTAATTACCCCATATGATCTCTTCTTCACTTGTCCTATCACTTTTCTCTTCTATGATATTCATTGGTGAATGGTGATTACAGTTTAAAAACTTGATTTCTAATTACCATCTGGTTGTTGATTAATTACCCTTGAATTATTAACTTTATACTCTGACTAAACACACACACACACACACACGTCATCTAGAAGTTTGATGTGCGCATGTGGAATTGACTATGATTAGGTAAGGTGAAGTGTCAGATTTTCTGCAGATGAGGTATATTTGATTATCTGTGTGAATTTATTTGTACTGGATTTGTAGTGAAAAAAGAAAAAGGGTAGCTTATCCTGAGATATGGGTTGTACGAGTCAATGACATTTTTAGAAGGGAGAAAATAGGGAAACAAAAATTGACAGCACGAAAACTAGCCCCGGATAATCATGGAATCATGGCATCACAAGCCACAAATCTATTTAATAACATTAAGATTTAAGATAATGCGATAAGATTAAGTAATTAACTCGATTCTTCTATAGGCGATGCATCAACATCCACTACGACTTGTTAGATCATACATAGCTCCCAAGACAGTAATAACATCATATATTAAATTAAATAAAACGTGAACGGATATTATTATAATTGCCATATTTATTGTCTTTATCAAGCATAAAAATAATGAATTCATAATTTGTTTTTTAATTATAATTACTACTTTTTAATCGCGATGATATAAGACAAATATCATCATGTCGTCAATTGTAGAATAATTTATGAGAACATTTTCGTTTTCAAATTACGTTGAGCACGATATCACGTTGGAACAAAATTCATAAACTGACTTGGTGCGTATATATCAGAAAACTCCCTAGCTAATAAGTTGCACATCGCATAGGACGTGATGAAAATTATTTCATAACAAACAAATTAATATTGCATACTTTATATGTGTTCATTTTCTGATACACATGTTCCAACTCAATAAGATTCGTGGGGAATAATTCTGGGCAAAAGGATAAAGATGTGAGAGAGACAAACAACCTTCTAGCTAGGTTACATGCAGAGACGTGATCGAGAATTCGTTACCATATATATTACACGTAAACAAAAGAAAATCTTGTTACTATTCAGCTAACTCAACATAACCTTCATATGCAGTCACACACAAAAAAAAAAAACACGTAATAATCTTCATAGCGCAGATGAAACAAAACCAGTGATGAAAATGAAATCTATATATATATATATATATATATATATATATATATATATATACACCAAGCTCTTGAGAGAACAATACACACTACATGGACAAACCCAGTGAGGTAGTCACTATTTTGGTTTTTAAATTCATATATATGAAAAGATCGTGTTTTACAGTATATGATCTACACAAACCTCATTAATTTGTATCCTAAATCAAGGTATATATGTAACAGCTGAGTTGAAATCTTTCTTCTCTTTTGAATATTTGTACATGAAGAGCACACCACCATTTTTATTTACATACCAATAAAACAAGCAAATATCTATATATACGTATAAAGCTATATTTAATTTTAACTAAAAATATCCATGGCCTCACCTTTAGCGTTGTTATTGCCTGCAGCTACCTCCAATGGTTGAAGAAGTTCAGTCGACGAGGCCCATCTAATTGATCAAACTCTAACAACTGCTTCCAAATTCCTAACAACCAAAATCTCAATATCCCATTAAAATCTTTACAAGCTAATTGGCAGCATCAAGAGGGTGTATATAGTGTAAGGTTCCACCAGCTGAGGATCATATCATATCCTTCTTACAGTAATTCAATATCTATTCATCAATAATTAAATAAACCTGGAATTGTTCTAAGCATACCAATTCATTCCTGGTATTTGATACGTTGTCCTAAGTATTCCATCGCCTATTGATCCCAACATTGATTGTTGGTGCAATGAAGGGGTTTGAGGGAGCTGGTTAAGCAGAGTGGCAATAGAGGTGGCAGTGCCGTTATCTTGATCAGTTCTCACAACACTCCCATGATTGTTGTCTCCAATTTCCAAATTGAACCTCTTGTTGGATGATGAGGTGCCAGCCACATCCTCATCATTCCAATACAGCGACGACAGTGTTCTTTTAGAAGTGTTGGAAGAGTGAGTCATGGTTGGCACAAAAGAAAGCTCTGCCTTGGAGTTTGAGGCTCCCAACTGAGATGATGACATGGCACCAGGTGTAGTAGTAGTAGTAGTACTTGTATTCATCACTGATCCGTTACCTATCATCATCCCTTCCAACAAGTTCTGGTCATTTTCCAACAATGCACTGCTGTAGCCTGTGGACATCTTTGAAAGATGATACCTCCCACTCATGTGGCCCACGTTGATGGAAGGAGGAATCCCTCCAATCATGTCTTCCATTGAATCTTCCCTGTCATGCTCCATGGGAGACCTATGCGTGTTGCTCTTCTTGTAGATTCGGCACAGCACCCAATCATCAAGCTAAACACACACCAACACAATATCCAAAAACCACAAAATTCAGAAACCCAAAAAAGGGACAGAGAAGGAGGCAAACATATTGTTAACTCCTGAACAAAAACATAAAGTTTTACATGGATAGCATGTACAATCTTTTAAAAAAAATCTTTATTTTACACATATTATTTAGATAAAACTCCCATACTGGTAATTGGAGAACAGTACAACATCTGAAAAAACTATCGATCACTGTAAAACAATTTTACACGGACATTTAAGAGAAATTCTTCATATCACCACATCCTGATATATCATATTAACAAATAGATGATGTGGTAAAAGGATGAAATTCTATTGAAGGTATGACATGTATATCAAAATCAAATTGTGATGAATTACCCTTAGAGAGTTTTTCTTGTTGCCCAAGTCACAGCCAGGAGGCCTATTGTTAGGCTTGTTATCAGCAAGCCTATACTCATGCATGATCCAATTAGTTTTGATCCCTCTTGGGGGTTTCCCTCCGTAGAAAACCAAAGCCTTCTTCACCCCAACCTTCTGGGTTCCCCCAGAGGTCAACACAGGCTTATCGGTCCCAGTGGCTTTCCAATACCCAGATGTGGCCGCCCTGTTTGGCCTCGCGCCGTTCGGATACTTCCTGTCCCTCGGACTAAAGAAGTACCACTCCTGCTCCCCAAACGTGGCCTTAGCTGCCAAACCATAAGGAAAGATAAAAACAAAAAATAAATCAATACAAAAAACAAAACAAACCCATTTTGGTTTTGAACGTAAAGTCCGAGTCTTTCATCCTTGGATGAACTGGAATTACCGGGTAGCTCCCAAGGATCGAACTTGTAGAGATCAACCTCAGCTATTATGGCCACAGGAAGAGGAGCCGAAGCTGTTTTTTTCTTGAGGTAGTGAACCACAAGCTCCTCGTCGGTGGGGTGGAACCGAAATCCAGGTGGCAAGTGCGGTTGTTGCTGTGAACCGGTCGATGAGTCGGTGCTCTCCATGGCACCGAAAAAACAAAGCTTGGATTTGTGGTTTTTGTTTTTGTATATGTTTTGCTTTCACTAAGGTGGGTTCTTTCAAGTGGTGGTTATGTTATGGCCATGGCTTCCACAGAAAACATGTTATAGTTGGGACGAAATGTTTTGGTTTTGCTACCCCACACAAGGGTGAGGCCCATGTTTTATATTGGTACGGGGAGTGGGGAATGATCCAGTGCGGAAGGGTTTGTTCGTTGTATGACCCAATGGACACACTACATGTTAGAGAAAGAAGGGTATTTTGGTCTTTTCAGGTAAAATGGATTTACCCTGCAGAGTGAGGTGGCGGCGCATGTATGGAAGACTGGTGGGTGTGTGATGATGACGTGAACTGGAATTCTGGCCGTTGAGAGGTTGACACATGGGATTTCAAATGAAGGAGGAGTTGACACGTGGGTGTTGTGTGCAATCTCTTTTTCCTTTTTTTTATAATTATTAATATTTTGTGGTTTTTTTCACTGATGGTGATTTTAATTGTAGTTTGTGTTATGGAAGAGAAAAAGGGTGGAGTGGAATGATAAGTGTGAGGTGTGGTGGTGAAGATAAGATTTTAGTCTCTACTTTTGTTGGAACCACCAATCCATGTGTAACAAGAAAATTACCATGCTAATCATGTGGGGCCCATGCCATAATCCCACTTCCTAGTTTCAACCATGGGAATGGTAAGTGAGAATACATCATTATTAGTCATAACATGGCTTATCATAAACATAATTTCTTTCTGGTGTTTAATATTAATCTTTACTCACAATAAAGTATCTTATCTTTTGAACTTTTCTTTTCTTAGTTAACTGATTTCGACATGAGAATATTTTATTGTTATCAGTTTTTAATAATATGTCTTTCGAACTACCACAATAACATTTAAATAATAAGTGTGAATAAATGAATGCATTCAATAATTATAAAAAAAAATCATATTTTTCTTTTGACTTATGTTTATATATTTGGAATATTCATGGTATTTATGTTAATAAATAATATTGTATTTAGTTGTTTTTAAAAACTATAATTTTATTTTACAATTATCATCATCAAATTAATTTTTTATCTTTATTTAAAAATAATAATATATGTATTTAATAAGAGTAGCAAAATCGACCATATAATTCTATTTCAGCTTGTTCTACTTATCTATGATAAAAATTGGATCGAGACAAATTTATCCATCATAGACAAATGAGGTTATAGGTCTTGGTTCCCTCTGCTATAAAGGTGAGTTGGAGAGGATTAATCTACAAATTTTATATATTTTTTAAAAAACAAAATTGTTTTTATAAATATTTTATAATTTTTATTCATTATTTAATATTTGAATTAAATAAATTAATAGAATTTTTATATTTATATATTTATGATTTAAATTATAATAATATTAAATATTTATATATTCCAATAAATCATAATATGTTATATTTTATGCTATTTATTGGTATTGGATACGGTGATGGATTATTATTAAAAAATAATGTATATTTTAATATTGTTTGAATAGTTTCTTAATAAGTATTACTTTTAGAAGATAGAAAAAAAACAATATAATTTAAAAAAAATTATATAAAGTAATTTTTAGAAGTTATCTTATATATATTTTTTTTAAAAATTTATTTTAATTTATGCATAAATTTATTTTAGTTTGTATAGACTATTTCTTTATTTGTTTTTCAAAGTGCTTGTGGAATTGGTCCAGACATATTCACAATATACGTTTATTTTAGTAAGAACTTTTTTCTTAAAAGTCACAAATAGATGTGAATAGTATTGGACACAATGAATATTCAAACCTAAAGTTGATTTGTGTTTAAGGATTAAAAACTAATTTTCGAAAATGTAGATTTTAAAAGTACTATTTTATATTTGTTAATATTATTTATATTAAAAGACATAGTAATCCATTAAATTAGAAATTATTTTTACTGTGAGAAACGAAAATTTTGAATGAAAATGAATTAAGGCATACGCGTCTTTGTGTTTGAGACATGAAATTATTAATTGTTTTTGGTCTCTATGGGCTATACTTAATATGTTACTAAAAAAGTATATATTCCACTTATACTAATTAAACACTCCTTGCTATTAGCACTAAAGTGGCTTGTGCTAAATAAGAAATGGTGTTTTAATTTATTATATTTTGATATTTCCTATTTAATATTGGGATTCAAATCATATTGATCAATTGTACAAAAAACAATCATATCGATCAAAATCCAGCACATTCTAAGGAAAATGGAAAATCATATGTAAAATCACACTCTTCCCTGCTCCTAGTCAAAAATTAATTAACAACGAGTTAGAGATGAACCGTTTAACTTCGACTAAATATTCAACATCAATTCCAGTCACAAGAGATTACGGGTCTCAAATTCTATGTGTATAATTAGAAACTCATCAATTGCTTAATTAATTGTAGGGAGTAAAAATTGAAAATCCAAGAAACTGTTTGTTCAATGAAGGAAGGGTTCAACAAAATTTTGCACACAAATATATTTCAAGTTTTATTTTTGTTTACTTTTCATGCACGCGTACTATAAAATATTAATTAAGGCTTCATTTCGTTTAAAATGTAAATATTTTTCAAGCCATTTTTTATTGATTGAAGAAAAAAATAAACTGTCCTGATATTCTAGTAAAAAGTATTTTATAGAATCTTGTAAATCTTATATATATTTTTTAATGGCGTCTTATTTATTAAGAAACATATAATTAAGACTTGACCTCCAAATTATCTATGTTAACAACCTCATGATAATCTAAACATCTTTTGGAGTTAATTAAGGTTAGTGTCTATGTAAATATTAAACTTTAGTTGACAAAATTTGCATGACACTCAAACTATTGGGTCGATTTCAACCGAGGTCTATAATTTCTCCGAGTCCTGTAAAATATTGGTTTTGGGTCAAAGGTCTCAAAAAGACTTGACATTATTAGTTTTTTTTTTTTGTTTTTGATTGGTTTAGATTTTATTTTGTACGATGATTTGGTTTTAAACACCTTTAATTGATAATAGTGAAATGTTATTTATAGTGTGAGTGGATTTATTTTGATGTAATTAAAAATTGAATAAAAAATGAACATAATTAAGAATTGAATGCAAATACTTATCAAACATGTTTTAAGTGTGTTCCAATGTAGTGATTTTACAGTAATGTTGTAATTAAAAATTATTTTTTGTGGGGGAGGAGAGAAGAATGTTGATATATGATGAATGAGAGTTGTAATTAAAAAATGTGCGATGGGTTTGACTTAGGATGAAGACAAAAAGTGGGCACTGGGCACACCACAATGACCAAATGATGGCATGGAAATGGATTGGTAAATAAACAAACACATAGTTTTGAGAGAAGAATGAGACACAGTTAGAGTATGTTGTGGGGTCCAAATGCTAATTGTATGACCGACCAGAGGGTCCCACTACCACTCCACCCAGGTGCTCATTGATTCAACTAGGGTCAAAATATCTATCTAACAACTTTTTTCTTCTTTTTTACCTATCGTCTAATTTTTCAATTATTTACTTACACACATGTTAATTAAATCAATTAATTACTTATTAATACACTATCTTTTCACCAAAGGTTATATATTATTTTAGATTTTGTTTTTTTCACCTTTAACCAAGTTTCGATGTTAACATAGAATATATAAATTTATATCCAAATAATTTTATATTAGATTGGTATTGAGTCTGACCTAAATTTTGGACAAAATAAATAAATTATAATTAATAATAATAGAAAATATGAAACATTAATGGTGATGGTGCAGAGTTTATCCCTGAAACACATTTTTATCTCTGAATATATAATTTTGTAAGATGATATTATCTTTAATTATTTGATATCTAGACCATATATTTTGTAGGGGGATTGATGTGGTAAATGTAACTTGATTTGATTTGCTTGGGCATTGGTGTATGTCTAATTACCCCGCAGAATCCATGCTTATTCATCACAACAACTCTGATTAGACTATGATGTGAATCAAAAAATCATGCATGCACTCTTCTTCTTTTTTTTCTTTAATATTCTCTCATCTTTTCAATTTTATTTACTTTTTATCAATATAGAAACCATTAATATGATCATCATACTTTATGAAACACATTTACATAACACATAAAGCCTGTATGCATATTAAGAAAGAATAGCTATGCTTTTAATTTTTTTCAATTTTCCTCAAACAACCATTAGCTTATAATAAAGAAGGTGTGACAAAAAAAATACAATCAAAAGTACACTTATTCCTTTAAAAATAATAATAATAATTAATAAACTAAGATTAAATTATCTTTGAATTATAAAATTACTCATACAATTATTAATTATATTTTTTAATGAAATATTTTTTGAATTAACACTTTTTCATATATAGTTATAAAATATTTTTATTATAAAATTATATTTTTCTATAAGTATTAAGTTTAAATTAATAAAATAATTTTACACTAAAAATATAAAATATATTCAATATCATTTCACTTTTATAATAACTTGATATTTATGATATTCTATCAAAATAATAATTAAAAGTATATATATAAAATTAAAATTATTAAGATAATCATAATATATTTATTTGAGTGAAAATAATTTTTTTATTTATATACCAGTAGAAAACAAAAACATGTACCTAACACTTTTTTTTGTCATTTTTTTATTATTAAACAAGGAAAAATATTTTATTTCTCATTTATGATAATAGTTAGATAATAATTACTTTTCACCTCTTAAATATAAGTATATTCATCCATAATAGTTAATTTTCACCCCACTTTGAGTCGTAAAAATAAGTATATTCATATATAGTTGGAATATATTCAATTAAAAAAAATATTTTAAGGTTTTATTAAAATAAAATAAAAAAATGGATTGATGACTGAAACAGTTATAACCTATTAGTTATTGAAAAGTATAGACATGCATAGTGATTTTAATCAAACCTAAAACAAATACTTAATATGGAAG